TGTAAAAACACTAATAATAGAAATATTTTTCTATTATTAGTGTTTTTACAGTTTGAATAAACATATTTGCTGAGGCATCCTCCCATTTGAGGTGTTCTTGTGAGTTCATTAACCAGCATCTGTTTGGTTACCAGTGAAAACATCATCCTAAAATAATCACATAACTCAATTTTGCCAACAAAGGACTTTGGCTTGACTTTGGACATGGCTTAAAATAAACTGGCAAACACTAAAACTAAGGATATTCCATCTATAATTTCAGTTAGTTTTAGTTAGTTTTGTAAAAGGATTATACAGTTTCAGTTAGTTATCTTTTTTTAATTTTATTACAGTTTATTTTAGTTAACTAAAATGTTTTTTCAATTTCAGTTTTTCTTATTTAGTTAGTTTTAGTTGACTAATAACCCTGCTGCATTCTGAGCTTGGTCAAATGTAAAACTGTATACCTTCAGTGGGATACAGTAAACAACATTTTTTTTACAATGTTATGCTAAAATAGTACACACAAATTTGTTGGTGCAYATATTAATCTTTTTAGTCATGTTTCCAACTAAGTGTCTGACCTGAATAAGTAAGACAGGAGCTTTTTCATCAGTCATTTGGCCTGTTTCAAGAGAACAACCAACTGCTGGGTAGTTTGGTGTCATTGTGTGCTCCACACTGAGCAGCAGAGAGCGGTCTGAGCAGCTCACAGAGAAGATTATACATATTCATGTTAAACATAAAGGCTTCCAAGAAGCTTTGTGTTCCTCTGACCACAGCTAATAAAATCATAGAAAAATTTAAACTCCATAGGACTGCAGCCCACTTCCTTTGATGTGGACACAAGAGGAAATGCAACYCMAGTCMATCAACATATAATGCGAATAGAAACAAATTAACCAAGAATATTATCCAAAACCAATCAAGCTGAACTCCGAGACCAAAGTGTGTCCCTTTCTGTCACATTTTCAATCATAATGATGGAAGAGCAACCTGTAGGCTCCACTGTCAGCAGAAAAACACAAAAAAYAAACAGTAATTCTCCAAAATGCTTCTAGACAGGAACACACATTTATCTGGACCTGAAAGTACAAAACTGGATGTTTTTTGGCTACTGTCACATCAGTTGTGTTGTTTTATTATCATGAAAGGTACCAACAAATATATATACGACGCTGTTTTAAAGTGTCTGTGTTTATGGATGTAGCAACATTTCAAACTATTTTACAGTTTTTTTTTCCCTTAAAAGCACAGATTTTAACCTCAGATGCTTATTTAAAAAGACAAACTGTAGTTATTTTTCCTTACTCTTTTCGGTTCTGCTGGGGTAGACCTTGTTAAATGGCCTGTAATCCTCTGGAGGTGGAAGGTCTTCAACAGGATGGAAGTTGAACTTGGATTCAAAATCATCTGAGGGAAAACAAACAAACAAACAAACAAATGTTTGATTAGGAATTGGGTTACAAAACAGAATGAGACAAAGCTGGAGCCTGCAAACAAGCTTATTTATTTTGTGAACAGAACMGGAACCACAGAAATAAGAAAGTCAAATATTCAAACTCAGAAAATATCTATTTAGGAGTAAGAACATTTWATTGGTCAAATGACCAGTAATCAACTCGAGAGCTTCTTTTGCTTGAATTAAGTTTAGGATCTCATCTACACCCTAATAATGTTTTGAAGTTTTGAATGGCTGGTGGATTTATTTCCCCACAGAGTGGATTCAGACCCTCGCTTTTTGCTATTTTAATATGTTGAAGCCTGATGATCAATAGTTTGTTTTACCAATGGTGGAGACATATTGTAGACACCAGTGGTGGGTACAGTTCCCCTAGAGCACTAAAGTGCTAATAGGGGAACTAATTTCTTGATTAGTGCTTTAGGGCTTTTGCTATTTTTTAAATTCGTTAGTGGATTAGCACTTGCTAAATTTATGGGCTAAATTTAGAAGCACTAACTGAGGCCTTTAAACGTTATTGATCAACATTATTGTTCACAGTTGAGGGTGAAAGCTGTCACATTTTGTTCATGTGTGTGTCACTTATTTATCTACAAATTCACATGTCAAACACAAGGCCTGCGGGCCAAATGTGGCCTGCAGGTGACTCCCATTTGGCCAATCAAGGGCACTAAGTGACAACAGTCTGCACACAGTAAATATTGTCTCATGTTGACTAAAGAATGTTTCATGTGTCAATTGGGTTATTTTAGTGCTTTAGAATTAGCTTTTGCTAAATCTTTCAATGTGTTAGTGCTTTAGAATTAGGGACCTAAATATTTGACTTAGTGCTTTAGAATTAGGGACCTAAATATTTGA